ATGAGTGGTGTATGAGTGGTTTATTTGTGGTTTATGAGTGGTGTATGAGTGGTTTATTTGTGGTTTTTGTGGGGTTAATTTATGTTTGTTTACGTGTGATTGTATAGCTTGTGTTGTTGTGTGTGGGGTTGTGTTGGTGTTTTGGTGGGTTTGTTGTGTGGTTTGTGTTGGTTTGTGTTGTTTGTGGTTTATGTGTGGTTATGTGTGGTTTATGTGTGGTTTATGAGTGGTTTTGAGTGGTTATGTGTGGTTTATGTGTGGTTTATGAGTGGTTTATGTGTGGTTTATGTGTGGTTTATGTGTGGTTTATGTGTGGTTTATGTGTGGTTTATGAGTGGTTTATGAGTGGTTTATGAGTGGTTTATGTGTGGTTTATGTGTGGTTTATGTGTGGTGTATGAGTGGTTTATGAGTGGTTTATGTGTGGTTTATGAGTGGTTTATTTGTGGTTTATGTGTGGTGTATGAGTGGTTTATTTGTGGTTTATGAGTGGTGTATGAGTGGTTTATTTGTGGTTTATGAGTGGTGTATGAGTGGTTTATTTGTGGTTTATGAGTGGTTTATGAGTGGTTTATTTGTGGTTTATGTGTGGTGTATGAGTGGTTTATTTGTGGTTTATGAGTGGTGTATGAGTGGTTTATTTGTGGTTTATGAGTGGTGTATGAGTGGTTTATTTGTGGTTTATGAGTGGTGTATGAGTGGTTTATTTGTGGTTTATGTGTGGTTTATGTGTGGTTTATGTGTGGTTTATGTGTGGTTTATGTGTGGTTTATGAGTGGTTTATTTGTGGTTTATGAGTGGTGTATGAGTGGTTTATTTGTGGTTTATGAGTGGTGTATGAGTGGTTTATTTGTGGTTTATGAGTGGTGTATGAGTGGTTTATGAGTGGTTTATGTGTGGTTTATGTGTGGTTTATGAGTGGTTTATTTGTGGTTTATGAGTGGTGTATGAGTGGTTTATTTGTTTTATTTGTGGTTTATGAGTGGTGTATGAGTGGTGTATGAGTGGTTTATGAAGTGGTTTATTTGTGGTTTATGAGTGGTGTATGAGTGGTGTATGAGTGGTTTATGAGTGGTTTATTTGTGGTTTATGAGTGGTGTATGAGTGGTGTATGAGTGGTTTATGTGTGGTGTATGAGTGGTTTTATTAGTGGTTTATGAGTGGTGTATGAGTGGTTTATGAGTGGTTTATGTGTGGTGTATGAGTGGTTTATTTGTGGTTTATGAGTGGTGTATGAGTGGTTTATTTGTGGTTTATGAGTGGGGTATGAGTGGTGTATGAGTGGTGTATGAGTGGTTTATTTGTGGTTTATGAGTGGTGTATGAGTGGTGTATGAGTGGTGTATGAGTGGTTTATTTGTGGTTTATGAGTGGTGTATGAGTGGTTTATGAGTGGTGTATGAGTGGTTTATTTGTGGTTTATGAGTGGTGTATGAGTGGTGTATGAGTGGTGTATGAGTGGTGTATGAGTGGTGTATGATTGGTTTATTTGTGGTTTATGAGTGGTGTATGAGTGGTTTATGAGTGGTTTATTTGTGGTTTATGAGTGGTGTATGAGTGGTGTATGAGTGGTTTATGTGTGGTGTATGAGTGGTTTATTTGTGGTTTATGAGTGGTGTATGAGTGGTTTATTTGTGGTTTATGAGTGGTGTATGAGTGGTGTATGAGTGGTGTATGAGTGGTTTATTTGTGGTTTATGAGTGGTGTATGAGTGGTGTATGAGTGGTTTATGTGTGGTGTATGAGTGGTTTATTTGTGGTTTATGAGTGGTGTATGAGTGGTTTATTTGTGGTTTATGAGTGGTGTATGAGTGGTGTATGAGTGGTGTATGAGTGGTTTATTTGTGGTTTATGAGTGGTGTATGAGTGGTTTATGTGTGGTGTATGAGTGGTTTATTTGTGGTTTATGAGTGGTGTATGAGTGGTTTATTTGTGGTTTATGAGTGGTGTATGAGTGGTTTATGAGTGGTGTATGAGTGGTTTATTTGTGGTTTATGAGTGGTGTATGAGTGGTGTATGAGTGGTGTATGAGTGGTTTATTTGTGGTTTATGAGTGGTTTATGTGTGGTGTATGAGTGGTGTATGAGTGGTTTATTTGTGGTTTATGTGTGGTTTATGAGTGGTGTATGAGTGGTGTATGAGTGGTTTATTTGTGGTTTATGAGTGGTGTATGAGTGGTTTATTTGTGGTTTATGAGTGGTGTATGAGTGGTTTATTTGTGGTTTATGAGTGGTGTATGAGTGGTGTATGAGTGGTGTATGAGTGGTTTATTTGTGGTTTATGAGTGGTGTATGAGTGGTGTATGAGTGGTTTATGTGTGGTGTATGAGTGGTTTATTTGTGGTTTATGAGTGGTGTATGAGTGGTTTATTTGTGGTTTATGAGTGGTGTATGAGTGGTGTATGAGTGGTGTATGAGTGGTTTATTTGTGGTTTATGAGTGGTGTATGAGTGGTTTATGTGTGGTGTATGAGTGGTTTATTTGTGGTTTATGAGTGGTGTATGAGTGGTTTATGAGTGGTGTATGAGTGGTTTATTTGTGGTTTATGAGTGGTTTATGTGTGGTGTATGAGTGGTGTATGAGTGGTTTATTTGTGGTTTATGTGTGGTTTATGAGTGGTGTATGAGTGGTGTATGAGCGTGAAGATATTACCTCACCCCTATGGATCCACCCCATCCCCCCCCCCCCCCAGGTTCAAGTTTGTGACGTCAGATTAATTAATCTGACAATTTGTCGTAAACATCTCCTGTGGTGAAGAATGTGCGACCACTGACATTTTCGTTTCACTCAGTTTAAAACTGATTCATCCCTTCCTTTATCTAGTGCCCGTGTTTACAGAATATGCAGTCATCTCTACTTTATCTAGTGCCCGTGTTTATAGAATATGCTGTCATCTCTACTTTATCTAGTGCCCGTGTTTACAGAATATGCTGTCATCTCTACTTTATCTAGTGCCCGTGTTTACAGAATATGCTGTCATTTCTACTTTATCTAGTGCCCGTGTTTACAGAATATGCAGTCATCTCTACTTTATCTAGTGCCCGTGTTTACAGAATATGCAGTCATCTCTACTTTATCTAGTGCCCGTGTTTATAGAATATGCAGTCGTCTCTACTTTATCTAGTGCCCGTGTTTACAGAATATGCAGTCATCTCTACTTTATCTAGTGCCCGTGTTTACAGAATATGCTGTCATTTCTACTTTATCTAGTGCCCGTGTTTACAGAATATGCAGTCATCTCTACTTTATCTAGTGCCCGTGTTTATAGAATATGCTGTCATCTCTACTTTATCTAGTGCCCGTGTTTACAGAATATGCAGTCATCTCTACTTTATCTAGTGCCCGTATTTACAGAATATGCTGTCATTTCTACTTTATCTAGTGCCCGTGTTTACAGAATATGCAGTCATCTCTACTTTATCTAGTGCCCGTGTTTACAGAATATGCAGTCATCTCTACTTTATCTAGTGCCCGTGTTTACAGAATATGCTGTCATCTCTACTTTATCTAGTGCCCGTGTTTACAGAATATGCTGTCATTTCTACTTTATCTAGTGCCCGTGTTTACAGAATATGCAGTCATCTCTACTTTATCTAGTGCCCGTGTTTACAGAATATGCAGTCATCTCTACTTTATCTAGTGCCCGTGTTTACAGAATATGCAGTCATCTCTACTTTATCTAGTGCCCGTGTTTACAGAATATGCAGTCATCTCTACTTTATCTAGTGCCCATGTTTACAGAATATGCTGTCATTTCTACTTTATCTAGTGCCCGTGTTTACAGAATATGCTGTCATCTCTACTTTATCTAGTGCCCGTGTTTACAGAATATGCAGTCATCTCTACTTTATCTAGTGCCCGTGTTTACAGAATATGCAGTCATCTCTACTTTATCTAGTGCCCGTGTTTACAGAATATGCTGTCATTTCTACTTTATCTAGTGCCCGTGTTTACAGAATATGCAGTCATCTCTACTTTATCTAGTGCCCGTGTTTACAGAATATGCAGTCATCTCTACTTTATCTAGTGCCCGTGTTTACAGAATATGCAGTCATCTCTACTTTATCTAGTGCCCGTGTTTACAGAATATGCAGTCATCTCTACTTTATCTAGTGCCCGTGTTTACAGAATATGCTGTCATTTCTACTTTATGTAGTGCCCATGTTTACAGAATATGCAGTCATCTCTACTTTATCTAGTGCCCGTGTTTACAGAATATGCAGTCATCTCTACTTTATCTAGTGCCCGTGTTTACAGAATATGCAGTCATCTCTACTTTATCTAGTGCCCGTGTTTACAGAATATGCTGTCATTTCTACTTTATCTAGTGCCCGTGTTTACAGAATATGCAGTCATCTCTACTTTATCTAGTACCCGTGTTTACAGAATATGCAGTCATCTCTACTTTATCTAGTGCCCGTGTTTACAGAATATGCAGTCATCTCTACTTTATCTAGTACCCGTGTTTACAGAATATGCAGTCATCTCTACTTTATCTAGTGCCCGTGTTTACAGAATATGCAGTCATCTCTACTTTATCTAGTACCCGTGTTTACAGAATATGCACCAAACTAGATAAGACACGGTAGACTGAATGTTGTTTGGTAGAAAGTGCATTTTGTTCCCTCCACTTTAGCCAAGGTTGGCCGATACTGTTCCCTCCACTTTAGCCAAGGTTGGCCGATATTGGTCCCTCAACCCACCTGCCATGATAGGCTCGTCCGTCAGTGCCACTATTTCAATCGATTCATGAACCTCAATGCTAGACATATCTACTAACACATCCATCTTAACGTCAATGCTAGACATCTATGCTATCTTAAAGCGCTATCTGAACAAACACACAAGATAGGGGACAGCGACATCAAATGTTAACTTATGGGACAGTGACATCAAATGTTAACTTAGGAGACACCTCCGCCTCCATGAACAAATAAGTAAATCACATAGGCCAGGTACCAAGAGTTCCAGCTTTCAACTGTTTTTATTTTCTTTGATCGTCAGGTCCTTGGGTCAGCCAGTGAGTTCCATTTCATCCATCACGGAGTACCACACGCCAGGACCAAGCGAAGTATACCACACACACGACAGCTGCGTGTGCATCCTAAGGTGAGTACACACACGACATATGCACGTACAAGGTGAGTACACACACGACAGCTGCACGTACAATGTGAGTACACACACGACAGCTGCACGTACAATGTGAGTACACACACGACAGCTGCACGTACAATGTGAGTACACACACGACATATGCACGTACAAGGTGAGTACACACACGACAGCTGCGTGTACATCCTAAGGTGAGTACACACACGACAGCTGCACGTACAATGTGAGTACACACACGACAGCTGCACGTACAATGTGAGTACACACACGACAGCTGCACGTACAATGTGAGTACACACACGACAGCTGCACGTACAATGTGAGTACACACACGACAGCTGCACGTACAATGTGAGTACACACACGACAGCTGCACGTACAATGTGAGTACACACACGCTAGCTGTACATAAGGTGGATAGCACACACCACGTGCACACCCTAAGGTGAGTACATACACAATAACTGACATAATAAGGTGTGTGCCACACGCAATAATCAGCGGTGTAGTAGAGTGAGGAAAAAAGTGATGTCTTTTAAAAATAGCCTGACGGTTATATTGCGTGCTGTGCTAAAAATGTGGACAATATCGATTCCTCACAGCTGTCTATACAAATATGTAATTATGTTGCACCCACATAAATATTAACATGCTACATCCGCAGAACAAAATATAATTTTGTTACATCCGCAGAACAAAATATAATCTTGTTATACTCATACAAAAAATTTAATCATGTCACACCCTCATAAATATAATCATGTTATATCCACAATAAATATAATCATGTTATAGCCATATAACAAACTACAATCATGTTACACCATAAATGTATACAGATGGAGACTTAGCATCAGAGAGCAGACACTCTTTTAGAAAAAGTTTATTTTAAGCCCCCCCCCCCCCCTCCCGTCGTTCCATTTACCCGTCACCTTCAATTAATAACGGCCCAGGTAATTTATTTCCCTGCTCAGGATTGGATGCTGAACATTTTAAAACACAATTGATCTATGTTGCTATTTTAAAAGCTTTTACTTAGGTCACAGTGACCTGGGTTTGAGTTCAAATCACGTAACCTAATTTTGACCTATTTCTCATGGAACGATTTCGTTAATGACTATTTCGATTAAGATAAAACGCCAGAAATCTCTAATTTTTAATCCAATTAGTTTAAGCCATTACAATTAATTTATACATAACCATTCACTACGAAAATGGGAGCTATAAAGTTTATACACATTTGGATACATTTTCTAACGAGAAAAATGTTCAAATGATCAAGTACATCCACACTTCACAAATTGTCCTCGATTCTATTTTCCGTGATATTTTGTCTCATGACTTTTTTCCGCTCGAGTTTTTTGGGGAAATCCGTTTGCTATTTCTGAAACCAAAACTGGGATATTGTATTTCACTGGTGGAACTTTACTAGTGGCATTTCTTTCCGTGTTTACACAAATGTCACAGCTAATGTCACGAATGTTGTCAGTTATCAGACACAGTGACATGAATGACGGGTGAGGATTTTCTTGGGGATGTTTGTGTCTCGTGCACATTGTGTGAGTTTGTCTAACGCACGTGCATCTGTTGACGTGAGGTGAGTGAAGCACGCGTCAAACGACTCACACGTTAATATGTCCTCAACACATGATCTAGTCGCATTTTTATTGTGAGACTGACTCGTGGCACTGACTCGTGACACTGACTCGTGACGCTCAGTCGTGTATCGGCCAAACTTTCAGTCGTGTATCGACCTAACTTTCAGTCGTGTATCGACCAAACTTTCAGTCGTGTATCGACCAAACTTTCAGTCGTGTGTCGACCAAACGACTAGTCGGCCAAACTCTCAGTCGTGTGTCGACCAAACTTTCAGTCGTGTGTCGACCAAACTTTCAGTCGTGTGTCGACCAAACTTTCAGTCGTGTATCGACCAAACTTTCAGTCGTGTGTCGACCAAACGACTAGTCGACCAAACTTTCAGTCGTGTGTCGACCAAACTTTCAGTCGTGTGTCGACCAAACCACTAGCGTACTGAACCTGAAGCGATCAAATGTCCAGGAGTTGATTTCACTCGGGTAACTGCTAATCTTCGGGCGCCTTGTGGGGAAGTATGGTCTGCTGCTGAGGTTAAGGGAGGTAATGCGAGTTAATGTGTGTAAAGTTAAGGGAGGTAATCCGAGTTAATGCGTGTAAGGTTAAGGGAGGTAATGCGAGTTAATGTGTGTAAAGTTAAGGGACGTAATGCGAGGTAATGCTTGTAAAGTTAAGGGAGGTAATGCGAGGTTATGCTTGTAAAGTTAAGGGAAGTAATGCGAGTTAATGCGTGTAAGGTTAGGGGAAGTAATGCGAGTTAATGTGTGTAAAGTTAAGGGAGGTAATGCGAGTTATTGCGTGTAAGGTTATGGGAGGTAATGTTAGTTAATGCTTGTAAAGTTAAGGGAAGTAATGCTAGACTAATGCGTGTAAGGTTAAGGGAAGTAATGCTAGACTAATGCGTGTACGATTAAGGGAGGTAATGCGAGACTTAATGAGAGCCACACCATAGTGAGCCAGAGATTTAAATTTTGACCAGATCGTTGATACTAGCGTGACTACATGGGGGGGGGGGGCGCTAGCGAGTGGATGGGGGCTAGCGGGTGGGGACGGGGCTAGCGGGTGGGGACGGGGCTAGCGGGTGGGGACGGGGCTAGCGGGTGGGGACGGGGCTAGCGGTTGGGGACGGGAGCTAGCGTTCCATGTCAACTTTCCCTGCCAATCTTCCCTGCCAGTATTCCCTGCTAATCTTCCCTGTCAATGTTCCCTGTAAACTTTCCTCTGTCAATGTTCTTTGTCAGTATTCTCTGTCAATGTTCCCTGTCAATGTTCCCTGCTAATGTTCCCTGCCAATGTTCCCAGTGAGCTTTCCCCAGTCAATGTTCTGTGTCAGTATTCCCTGCCAATGTTCCCTATCAATGTTCCTTGTCAACTTCCCATAACAATGATCCCCGCTAAAGTTCCATGTCAAAGTTCCCTGTCAGTGCTCCCTATCAATGTTCCCTGTCAATGTTCCCTGTCAAAGTTCCCTGGAAATGTTCCCTGCCAAAGTCCCCTGTTTGTGCCCTGTCGAATTTACCCTGCCCATGTTCCCTGCCAATGTTCCTTGCCAAATTTCCCTGTCAATGTTCCTGTCAATGTTTCCTGTCAATGTTCCCTGTCAATGTTCCATGTCAATGTTCCCTGTCAATGTTCCCTGCCAATGTTCCCTGCCAATGTTCCCGCGGCTCTATGAAAGTCTCCAACACAGCCACTCGTGCGCCGTGAGAATGATTTAACATTTGGGAAAACTGGAGTGTCAATTAGCAAATCATGATTGATCTTCTGGACCCTCCACCCCCACCCTTCTCTCTGCCTCCTACTCATTCTGTAATCAATACCCAAAGTTTGAATTTGTAAAACAACACCAGTGTGGCCAGATTTAAATATGTGTAGATAGCTAAACGTTTGTCCAGATTTAGCTAAAAGTTTGGCCAGATTTAGCTAAAAGTTGAGCCAGATTTAGATAAAAGTCTGGCCTGATTATCTAAAAGTTTTGCCAGATTTAGCTAAAAGTTTGTACAGATTTAGCTACAAGTTTGGCCAGATTTAGCTAAAAGTTTGGCCAGATTTAGCTAAAACTTTGGCCAGATTTAGCTAAAAGTTTGGCCAGATTTAGCTAAAAGTTTGGCCAGATTTAGCTAACAGTTGAGCCAGATTTAGCTAAAAGTTTGGCCAGATTTAGATAAAAGTTTGGCCTGATTTAGCTAAAAGTTTGGCCAGATTTAGCTAAAGGTTAGGCCAGATTTAAATGTGTGTTCACTGGTTGTGAGAGTGCAGTTCCTCACGTCGGTTTAAATTAATAGGACGATCTTCCTGCTTGGTTTTTTGGCGGTCGTGTGAGGGATATACCGAGTTTCGTGTTACTTTGTGTGTGTGGGGGGGGGGGGGTGGCAGTTGGAGCATGAATAAAGTGGGGTTTGATCTAGGACAATGTGGGGTTTGTTTTTGGTTTGTGTGGGGTTTGTTTTGTGTGTGTGTGGGGGGGTGTTTTCGGTCCATGTGGGGTTTGTTTGGGGTTTGTGTGGGGTTTGTGTGGGGTTTGTGTGGGTTTATGATGTGATTGTGTGGCTGTGTGTGGGGTTTGTGTGGGGTTTGTGTGGGTTTATGATGTGATTGTGTGGCTGTGTGTGGGGTTTGTGTGGGGTTTGTGTGGGTTTATGATATGATTGTGTGGCTGTGTGTGGGGTTTGTGTGGGGTTTGTGTGGGTTTATGATATGATTGTGTGGCTGTGTGTGGGGTTTGTGTGGGGTTTGTGTGGGGTTTGTGTGGGTTTATGATATGATTGTGTGGCTGTGTGTGGGGTTTGTGTGGGGTTTGTGTGGGTTTATGATATGATTGTGTGGCTGTGTGTAGGGTTTGTGCATCTGTCACGTTTAGTGTGTGGGCTATGCTGGCGTCTATCGTGCAGTATGACGAGAGAGTGTGTGTGTGTGTGTGTGCGTGTGTGTGTGTGTGTGTGTGTGTGTGTGTGCTGGCGTCTATCGTGCAGTATGACAAGAGAGTGTGTGTGTGTGTGTGTGTGTGTGCGTGTGTGTGTGTGTGTGTGTGTGTGTGTGTGCTGGCGTCTATCGTGCAGTATGACGAGAGAGTGTGTGTGTGTGTGTGTGCGTGTGTGTGTGTGTGTGTGTGTGTGTGTGTGCTGGCGTCTATCGTGCAGTATGACAAGAGAGTGCATCAGATCGATGGCATTTCCTCTAATGTGCATCGAACAGACTTGTCAGCATATTGATAGCAACTCGACACAAGATATTTAATTGATTCTATTTTTAGATCACATCCAGTGCATGTTCGTGAAGACTTGGATCCTCTACTTCTGTCCAGTAGTAAAGGAGGTTACCTCAGTAGTAGAGATGTTCTAGTGGTGATGTGACCTCAGTAGTAGAGATGTTCTAGTGGTGATGTGACCTCAGTAGTAGAGATGTTCTAGTGGTGATGTGACCTCAGTAGTAGAGATGTTCTAGTGGTGATGTGACCTCAGTAGTAGAGATGTTCTAGTGGTGATGTGACCTCAGTAGTAGAGATGTTCTAGTGGTGATGTGACCTCAGTAGTAGAGATGTTCTAGTGGTGATGTGACCTCAGTAGTAGAGATGTTCTAGTGGTGATGTGACCTCAGTAGTAGAGATGTTCTAGTGGTGATGTGACCTCAGTAGTAGAGATGTTCTAGTGGTGATGTGACCTCAGTAGTAGAGATGTTCTAGTGGTAATGTGACCTCAGTAGTAGAGATGTTCTAGTGGTGATGTGACCTCAGTAGTAGAGATGTTCTAGTGGTGATGTGACCTCAGTAGTAGAGATGTTCTAGTGGTGATGTGACCTCAGTAGTAGAGATGTTCTAGTGGTGATGTGACCTCAGTAGTAGAGATGTTCTAGTGGTGATGTGACCTCAGTAGTAGAGATGTTCTAGTGGTGATGTGACCTCAGTAGTAGAGATGTTCTAGTGGTGATGTGACCTCAGTAGTAGAGATGTTCTAGTGGTAATGTGACCTCAGTAGTAGAGATGTTCTAGTGGTGATGTGACCTCAGTAGTAGAGATGTTCTAGTGGTGATGTGACCTCAGTAGTAGAGATGTTCTAGTGGTGATGTGACCTCAGTAGTAGAGATGTTCTAGTGGTGATGTGACCTCAGTAGTAGAGATGTTCTAGTGGTGATGTTACCTCAGCAGTATAGATGTTCTAGTGGTGATGTGACCTCAGTAGTAGAGATGTTCTAGTGGTAGATGGCGGGTGAAAAAAGACATCCCGTAATTAGGGACATGCCATGAACCCTAGAGAGAGATCTTTCACTAACAACTAAAACGCTAGACTAAAACAATGGAGAGACCTTTAGAGGCCTTTCATTAATCACTAGAACCTACCTAAGTCATTTAAAACTACCAAACTAGGAGTGTCAGTCAGTCATGATTTGAAAAAGTAGCTAATGGCTACCTTTTGTGTGAAGATGTAGCTAATGGCTACCTTTTGTTTGAAGATGTAGCTAATGGCTACCTTTTGTTTGAAGATGTAGCTAATGGCTACCTTTTGTTTGAAGATGTAGCTAATGGCTACCTTTTGTTTGAAGATGTAGCTAATGGCTACCTTTTGTTTGAAGATGTAGCTAATGGCTACCTTTTGTTTGAAGATGTAGCTAATGGCTACCTTTTGTTTGAAGATGTAGCTAATGGCTACCTTTTGTTTGAAGATGTAGCTAATGGCTACCTTTTGTTTGAAGATGTAGCTAATGGCTACCTTTTGTTTGAAGATGTAGCTAATGGCTACCTTTTGTTTGAAGATGTAGCTAATGGCTACCTTTTGTTTGAAGATGTAGCTAATGGCTACCTTTTGTGTGCAGGTACGCTCAGCCTTCCAGCAGTCGGGCTACGTGAGGGTCAAGCGAGGCTACAAGGACGCCGAGAAAGTTCTGACCACCAACAAGCAGCACATCAGTCTCAAGGCCAAACCTCAGCTGCCCAATGATCCGGACTTTGACAAGCAGTGGTACTTGGTGAGTAAACTTTGTGGTCATGGTACTGGGGCCTACAAATTATGGTACTTGACAGCCAACCTTAGGTCCTACACAAACCTGAATCAGCCAACCTAAGGTCCTACACAAACCTGAATCAGCCAACCTTAGGTCCCACACAAACCTGAATCAGCCAACCTTAGGTCCTACACAAACCTGAATCAGCCAACTTTAGGTCCTACACAAACCTGAATCAGCCAACCTTAGGTCCTACAAAAACCTGAATCAGCCATTCTTGAGTTGTTCAAATGTTGTGGACAAGACTTCAATAATCCATTTGCTAATCAAGATGGCGAATTCTATTAATTAGTATTTGTTAGCTCTAATTAATGAATATTTTTAGCTCTAATTTTTTTTTTTACCCGCTGAAAGGTTTTTTGTTAAAATAGCTTCATTTGAGCATGGTGACGTCATAATTTCTTTGTTTACAAATGAGTTTGCCAAACAACACAGCTAATTTCCCGTCCGTCGAGTCCCTGGTGCAGCCCCTCTTGATTCAATGCTGGGCGGGGGTCTCTAGGGCAAAGTTCCTAGCAAGAACATCTCCTACAGTACATCAACTGCTCAGACGAATCCCTAACTAAAGATAAACTGGACAAATCTCCAACTGGACAAACTGGACAAATCCCTAACTAAAGACAAACTGGACAAATCCCTAAATGGACAAAGTGGACAAATCCCTAACTAAAGACAAACTGGACAAATCTCCAACTGGACAAACTGGACAAATCCCTAACTAAAGACAAACTGGACAAATCCCTAAATGGACAAAGTGGACAAATCCCTAACTCCAACCAAACTGGACAAATCCCTAACTCTAGACAAACTGGACACATCCCTAACTCCAGACAAACTAGACAAATCCCTAACTCCAGACAAACTTGAATCTTCTTCAATAGACAAGTATCGGCTGTTTCGTCAATTTAACGACTCGAGGTTTTCAGAATTTAATCAGACTATCGGATTGAGTGACACATAGAAGGTGTCTGTTACATTTAGTAACAAACTGGTCTGTAGGTGTATGTCAGGTTTACTGACACACTGGTGGTGTCTGCCACATTTACTCACACACTGACAGTGTCTGCCACATTTACTGACACACTGACAGTGTCTGCCACATTTACTGACACACTGACAGTGTCTGCCACATTTACTGACACACTGACAGTGTCTGCCACATTTACTGACAGACTTTCACTGAGTGACAGAATAAAACTTGTCTTTAGTCCTGGATGAGAAAGTGTCGGCGCCATCTTGTGAGCTCGTGTAGCCGCCATCTTGCAGGCAAGCAAAAGGTCAAAGAGCAAAATTGAAAGATTCGATCAACTACGTCACTGATGCAATGCCAGATGTTGTTAAAGACAGCTCGGATCAATAAATATCGATTTCTTTATTTCACAATCTCTGACTACAGCCATTGTTTGCACAATCTCTGACACAATCTCTGACACAATCTCTGACACAATCTCTGACTACAGCCATTGTTTGCACAATCTCTGACACAATCTCTGGCACAATCTCTGACACAATCTCTGACACAATCTCTGACTACAGCCATTGTTTGCACAATCTCTGACACAATCTCTGACACAATCTCTGACACAATCTCTGACTACAGCCATTGTTTGCACAATCTCTGACACAATCTCTGGCACAATCTCTGACACAATCTCTGACACAATCTCTGACTACAGCCATTGTTTGCACAATCTCTGACACAATCTCTGACACAATCTCTGACACAATCTCTAACACAATCTCTGACTACAGCCATTGTTTGCACAATCTCTGACACAATCTCTGACTACAGCCATTGTTTGCACAATATCTGACACAATCTCTGACACAATCTCTGACTACAGCCATTGTTTGCACAATCTCTGACAAAATCTCTGACACAATCTCTGACACAATCTCTGACACAACCTCTGACACAATCTCTGACACAATCTCTGACTACAGCCATTGTTTGCACAATCTCTGACACAACCTCTGACACAATCTCTAACACAATCTCTGACACAATCTCTGACACAATCTCTGACACAACCTCTGAAACAATCTCTGACACAATCTCTGACACAATCTCTGACTACAGCCATTGTTTGCACAATCTCTGACACAACCTCTGACACAATCTCTAACACAATCTCTGACACAATCTCTGACACAATCTCTGACACAACCTCTGACACAATCTCTGACGCAATCTCTGACACATTATCTGACACAATCTCTAACACAATCTCTGACTACAGCCATTGTTTGCACAATCTCTGATGCAATCTCTGACACAATCTCTGACACAATCTCTGACACAACCTCTGACACAATCTCTGACACAATCTCTGACACAATCTCTGACACAATCTCTGACACAATCTTTGACTACAGCCATTGTTTGTACAATCTCTGACACAATCTCTTGCACAATCTCTGACACAATCTCTGACACAATCTCTGACACAATCTCTGACACAATCTCTGACACAATCTCTAACACAATTTCTGACTACAGCCATTGTTTGCACAATCTCTGACACAATCTCTGACACAATCTCTGACTACAGCCATTGTTTGCACAATCTCTGACAAAATCTCTGACACAATCTCTGACACAATCTCTAACACAATCTCTGACTACAGCCATTGTTTGCACAATCTCTGACACAATCTCTGGCTACAGCCATTGTTTGCACAATATCTGACACAATCTCTGACACAATCTCTGACTACAGCCATTGTTTGCACAATCTCTGACAAAATCTCTGACACAATCTCTGACACAATCTCTGACACAACCTCTGACACAATCTCTGACACAATCTCTGACTACAGCCATTGTTTGCACAATCTCTGACACAACCTCTGACACAATCTCTAACACAATCTCTGACACAATCTCTGACACTATCTCTGACACAACCTCTGACACAATCTCTGACGCAATCTCTGACACATTATCTGACACAATCTCTAACACAATCTCTGACTACAGCCATTGTTTGCACAATCTCTGATGCAATCTCTGACACAATCTCTGACACAATCTCTGACACAACCTCTGACACAATCTCTGACACAATCTCTGACACAATCTCTGACACAATCTTTGACTACAGCCATTGTTTGTACAATCTCTGACACAATCTCTTGCACAATCTCTGACACAATCTCTGACACAATCTCTGACACAATCTATGACACAATCTATGACACAATCGCTGACACAATCTCTGACACAATTTCTGACTACAGCCATTGTTTGCACAATCTCTGACACAATCTCTGACACAATCTCTGACTACAGCCATTGTTTGCACAATCTCTGACAAAATCTCTGACACAATCTCTGACACAATCTCTGACACAACCTCTGACACAATCTCTGACACAATCTCTGACTACAGCCATTGTTTGCGCAATCTCTGACACAACCTCTGACACAATCTCTGACACAATCTCTGACACAATCTCTGACACAACCTCTGACACAATCTCTGACGCAATCTCTGACACAATCTCTGACACAATCTCTAACACAATCTCTGACTACAGCCATTGTTTACACAATCTCTGATGCAATCTCTGACACAATATCTGACACAATCTCTGACACAACCTCTGACACAATCTCTGACACAATCTCTGACACAATCTCTGACACAATCTCTGACACAATCTCTGACACAATCTTTGACTACAGCCATTGTTTGCACAATCTCTGACACAATCTCTTGCACAATCTTTGACACAATCTCTGACACAATCTCTGACACAATCTCTGACACAATCTCTGACACAATCTCTGACACAATCTCTAATACAATCTCTGACTACAGCCATTGTTTGCACAATCTCTGACGCAATCTCTGACACAATCTCTAACACAATCTCTGACACAATCTCTGACACAAACTCTGATACAATCTCTGACACAATCTCTGACACAATCTCTGACACAATCTCTTGCACAACCTCTGACACAATCTCTGACACAATCTCTGACACAATCTCTGACACAATTTCTGACACAACCTCTGACACAATCTCTGACACAATCTCTGACACAATCTCTGACACAACCTCTGGCTACAGCCATTGTTTACACAATCTTTGTGACAGGTCACACAATTCTGTGAACGACTGCTCGTCACGGGGTGTGACGTCACGTGTCTTACTCTGACGTGTGTAACAAAAGACCCGCAACTCTGTTGACACAGATCAAGTTCCAACAATTCGGCTCGCAAATTGGTTGATTGTCTGCCCCGCTCCGATATCTTCCACTCTATTGCCAGTCTATGGCTCCTGCTGTCCGTTTGGTCAATTCCTTCTCTTAGGGAGAAGATGTCAAATTGGTCAACACTTTCTCTTAGGGAGAAGATAGCAAATCGGTCAACACACTTTCTCTTAGTAAGAAGAAATCAAATTGGTCAACACTTTCTCTTAGGGAGAAGAAATCAAATTGGTCAACACACTTTCTCTTAGGGAGAAGATAGCAAATTGGTCAACACTTTCTCTTAGGGAGAAGATAGCAAATCGGTCAACACTTTCTCTTAGTAAGAAGAAATCAAATTGGTCAACACTTTCTCTTAGGGAGAAGAAATCAAATTGGTCAACACTTTCTCTTAGGGAGAAGAAATCAAATTGGTCAACACACTTTCTCTTAGGGAGAAGATAGCAAATTGGTCAACACTTTCTCATCGGGAGAAGATAGCAAATCGGTCAACACTTTCTCTTAGTAAGAAGAAATCAAATTGGTCAACACTTTCTCTTAGGGAGAAGATAGCAAATCGGTCAACACACTTTCTCTTAGGGAGAAGATGTCAAATTGGTCAACACTTTCTCTTAGGGAGAAGATAGCAAATCGGTCAACACACTTTCTCTTAGGGAGAAGATAGCTAATTGGTCAATTCCTTCTTTTAGGGAGTAGATTTCAAATTGGTCAACACTTTCTCTTAGGGAGAAGATAGCAAATTGGT